AAGCATTCAACATAATTTTTTGCTTAAAATAGTTAAATAGGACATCGGTTACTATAGTAAAAGTAACAGTTTAACTCAAATACTGACAAATACATGATAACATAATATACTTGAAAGATTTACTTTTATATCAAATGTGTATCAAACTCAAGGCCCAGTTTATGGAAGATTGCAAACATGTTCTTTTATACTTTTAAGCTTATGTTTATTAAACATTGGTCTAGATTTAAATAAAGTTGTGTTGTAAAATTAAACAGCTGTACACTGAGCTATACAAACAAATTAAAGTCAGCACTTCCGTACATGTACTAACAAAGTCTTCAATAAATGTTTAGACTTATATTTAAATATATATGTAAAGAAAGCTTTTTTTAACTCTTCTACTATATATTGGTTTAGGTTCAAGTTATTTGGTCACACTGACACAATTAAGGTCATCCTGGCTTTTACTGTATGGGCTGTGGTACAGGAACATTGATCTTCCTTGTTGATCTTTACTGTTTAGTACACTTTCTATGATTTTCAAAAAGTGATGAACGATATGGGGCAGAACTAAACCATATCTGCTAACCTAGCAGATATTTTCCATTTCATTTCACCTACCAAGTTATTGAACATGCAGGACAGTGTTGAGTTAAGCCCTGGATGACAGTGTCAAGTTAAGCCCTGCATGACAGTGTCAAGTTAAGCCCTGCATGACAGTGTCAAGTTAAGCCCTGCAGGACAGTGTCAAGTTAAGCCCTGCATGACAGTGTCAAGTTAAGCCCTGCATGACAGTGTCAAGTTAAGCCCTGCAGGACAGTGGCAAGTTAAGCCCTGCTGAACAGTGTTGAGTTGACCCCTGCTGAACAGTGTTGAGTTGAACCCTCAGGACAGTTTCAAATCAAGCCCTGCAGGACAGTGTCGAGAGTTGAACCCTGCAGAACAGTGTCGAGTTTAACCCTACAGGACAGTGTCGAGTTGAACCCTGCAGGACAGTGTCATGTTGAACCCTGCATGTCAGTGTAATTGAGCCATGTAGGACAGTGTCAAGTTGAACGTCAAGTTAAACCCTCCTATAACTTTCCTGTGGAGTAACAGAAGCTATTCCAACTCTAATCAATGTTTCTATTTATGACCACACATGATTAGAAAATACAGGTTTTATAATGAAAGAGAAATTAGGAAATAATATGTTGGGGGTCAGTGTTCTTGGACACAACAGGTCACATACGATATTAATCAATTGTGTCTGCATTCCAAATAATGCCATCTTGTGTCCATTTATTTATATCTTGTTTAACCTTTGTACCAGGTCTATAATACACATGCCGCTGTAAAACAGTAAAAATGAAACTGTTCAACAAGTACTTATAATGCTTGGTTAGCTAATAATGAAAATTAAACCTTACATAAGTGGTCATCAAAATTTCCATAACAAATTCAAATACCCTGTGTAGGGAAAACTGAATATAATATAGCATCAAAGTGGTAACAAGCTTCACAAAATCACAGGAATTCACAGAATGACACTAAAACAAAAAAAGAAAAAAGGAACTTTTAATTCAATTTTATTTTAATATTTTGAGGAGATACTGAAGGAATTATTGCTATGAATATGTCAAGGGGAATAATAATTGTATTCTGGTGGATGACATGCAGAGAAAATGTTGATAAAGTAGCAGAATGTTCAGCTTTGACATCCAATTATCAGACAGGCTATGAGGTAACCTTTAAAACATGTAATTTTCTATGATTCATAGTCTTTGTAATTCATAAAAATTTGAGAAGCTGTATGACCAGAATGGTATCAAAACCAGTACAAACATTTTGATATTAGCTGTTAACTTATTCAACTTTTGTCATGACCAATTTGTGCTTGGTTAAATGATTCAGCTGAAGAAAAAAAACTACGATTACAACAACATTATGATATACAACAAGTATGATTTAAGAAATCATGGGGTAATTTACTTTGAATCAAGACCAACAAAGTTCCAAACTAGTATTTTGAATGTTTCTTTCTAAAGGCTATAAAGTCATACACCCGATTCATTGAATAACCAATTAAAATTTGGTCTCAGATACAATACACTTGCAGGGTTTGTATTCATTCATTAAGAGTAAACCAAAATATCTCATAACATTGATATCAAACAAAAAACTCAATAATGAACATGGGTAAAATTATGAACTGACTTCTGACTAGGAGGATACCAATCCATTTATAGAAACCACTTAGGTTGTGAAAGGAAATTCATGTCAGACCAATATAATAGCCATGTGACATAACCTGTCTTGATTACGTTCAATCATCCTGCATTTATAATATTAGTAATAATTGTCTGATACCTTATACTTTACTCTAGGGTCTATAGCACAAAAGTTCAGAAGTCTGGAACAAGTAATAAAGTTTCAAATTGTTTTATTGATATGAACTTTTCACACCTCAGTCTTAATCTGACCTTATTTCTTCCTTCCCAACATTTTATTTGTTCTTTTTAAAGATGCCAAATAGATATTATCTTCAAGTTGTTTAAGTTAAACCTTTTCTTTGATTTCAATTTACTTTTTTTCTGTTAAATATAACATGATATTGATATCTATGTCTATTCAAGCAATTATGAAAAAAGAAATTGGTCTGTAGTGTGGTAGTTGTGTGGAAGTTGTGATATCATAGTTTAACAAGAAGGTGGCTGACCCCAAGTACAAATTTGCTAACAGAAAAAAATGTCCTTCTTGAAAGAAAAAAATGACTGACAGTTTCAAACCACATGTTTGTGTTAAATCTTACAGGAGGTGAGAAGTCATTTTAAAGTTATGTTATAAAAGTCTTCAATTCAGCCCTATGTTACAAACTATGAAGTGAAAATTTAAATAGAATGTAAACAACAGCGTGAAAAGGCAAACAGTCATATAACCCCATAACAGGCTTATCTACTGATTCTAAACTATGCATCGTACAAATATGTCAATAATGCAGTATTCTAATCAGTATCTTATGAAATAAAAATAGGACTCTTGTAGTTGTCAAACTGAACACGGTTGTTACAGCACATTTGGGTCACATTTTTTCTGAGTTCATTTCTAATTCATGTATTGCAGGACATTATTTTTCACAAGGAAAAGTCAAGAAAAGTTCATAAATATTTCTGAAAGTGGAGAGGTATTTGTCCATGATCTGATTTAAAAATCTCATCTGACTTCTAGTAAGCTTTAACGGCATTGTATTGTAAAAGGGAAAAGAGATGAAGTGGCAAATATATACTAGTATGTCTCTGAACGAAGGAAGCAATACCAGTTCATTTATGGCCCTATAGAGGCCCAAAGCTATAGTTCTATGGCATCAGTGCAAGTTATTCACAGAGTTGTATATAGGCTGGCCTAAGGAATGAAATCTTTAGACTTTTCTCTTCGAACATAGATTTAAAGATTTAAAGTAATGAAGCCATAAGGCTTATCAGCTTTTATCAGATATATAGCACACAAATAACTATGAATTTGGCAGATACAGTGTATTATCAGAAAACTCCAATATTCTGCCTAATTTTATTGGAACTGGTGTCAAAGTTTTCCCATTTGCTTTCATCGTCTTTAAATATGATATTCTAATGCCACCTATTATTTTACATCTATCAAAAATAACAAGGTGCCTCCAAAGAAAGTGTAAAACTCTAGGCATTCATTATTCAAGAACCTAATTAACAAGAAATTATAGAGAAAAATCCTTCCTGTCTGTCCTTTCTCATGGAGTATCGTGCATTCATTCATTCACAAAGCAAAAAGCTATTACAAACTGTAATCTGTTCTGCAATGTTAAGAAACTGACAGTGGATCATTAAATCATTACATTTATCAATTATTTCATGCCGTTTCATAAGATAGTCATTGCTACCCTTTCCCAATAAATACCGGTAGGTCATTATCAAAATAATGCTAAATTTATTTTGTCACAAGGATGTAAAAGAATATCCAGGCAACAAACACACTTATTAACTTAAAGACTAATTAGTTTTCTATTATTAACCCAAAGCGGAAGTGACACCAGTATAGAACTAGGCCAGCCTGCACATTTGCGCAGTTTTACCGAGATCTAAACTGTAGGCGGCTAATTCAATTTTGCATTTTGTTACTGAAACCCCTTAAAATTAAAATGCACAGTACCAAAACTAAGATTAGGGCATGTCCATTACATATATTCAACATATATTCAATTTTTTTTTGTATGTGATCTCTTTGGTCTTTAACAAGACAGGCTGCATCTTCATAATCCAGCTTATACAGTAATCTAATCCACTGGTAAAATTGTTTGCATATTGAGGATTATCCTGTTAATTATGCTATCATTAACACACAGAGTGATATCAAAATTATGCTATCACAAACTCACAGAAGCTTCAAAGCTAAGGTCAATATAAATCAACTGTAAAATATTAATTAACAAGGTAGATATCAGTCATGATAGAACTGATAAATCTGCTGATAATGTCATTCTCCGCCTATGTGTAACACTATTTGCCTTTTAAATTAGGACAGAAATAATGAATTTTAATTACAATTACATTCTGCCCTCTGTACTAAATAACCACTCTAAATGTCTAATGAGATGAACTCATTTAAATACTGAATTTTAATTTAGAATACAAAAGAATAACTCATTTAAGAATTTCAAGACCTATTTATGAATGGCAATTTACTTCATTTGTACAATATAATCAATATTATTTGGTCATTTATATCAGCAAAAAAGAATAGGTCAAGATCTTAAATTGATTCTTTAATGATTGATTCACTGGCTGGTTGGTTGAAAAATAACACAAATGAATGAATGAATGAATGAATGAATGAATAAATGAATGAATATGAATGGATGGACGAATGAATGAATGAATGAATAAATGAATAAATGAATGAATGAATGAATGAATGAATGAATGAATGAATGAATGAATGAAACAAAGTGACATAAAGACTTCACTGGTCTGATATCATTGTTCAAACCTTCACAAGCACAAACTTACCTGAATCCACAGCACAAGAGGAATCACTTCCTGTATTACTGTGTATATGTTTATGTGAATGTTTTAACGTATAAAGAAGATGAGGTATAACTTGTTCAGTTTGGTTTAAATGTTCACTGGTGTTATCTCCAGCTATTATAGGTTCTATGAGATAATGTTCTCCTTCTACACTGAATGACCCTGCCTGAAAAAGACAAAAAATGGCATTTACCAAAAGTGACAAAATTTCATATGTAATATACGCTTTAAAGCTAAGCTGCCAGCTTGCGAAGAAGATTATTACCAAATCTAACAAGTAGCAGGCGCTTTATATAAAGGGGAAGTAACAAGTGAGCAATCAATTTATACATAAAGTTTCATTTGTTATAATATTCTGAGAAACTAATTCCTCCACAGAAATTGTCAGTAACATCTCATTCCGCCACATAAAGGTCTTGCATTCGTGAATTTGACCACACATGTCTCATAAATGGCGCAATTCATTCAAAGGGGAGTAACTGTGCAAATCTTTTAATATGATAATGTTTGGGGTACTCGTATCCCAAACTGAAAGAACCTTATCTATGCATGCTTACTAAGAAACTAATTCCTCCACAGAAATTGTCAGTAGAATCTCATTCCGCCACATAAAGGTCTCGTATTGGTGAATTTGACCACACATGTCTCATAAATGGCGCAATTCATTCAAAGGGGAGTAACTGTGCAAATCTTTTAATATGATAATGTATGGGGTACTGAAAGAACCTTATCTATGCATGCTTACTAATATCTCCATTATCTCCATTAGCTTTCTATTTAAATTTCTTTTATATCATTATACAAGATGGATGACGGTACATCAAACTCCGAGTGAAAAAAGGGATTCAAAATAATTGCTTAATAGTAATTATATTTCTAGTTACAATTCACGTTCAAGATGAAACAAAGTGCTTAACGTTTTGTTCTAACTTAATTTGACCGTAATAAATAACATCAATAACATCAGTTAAATCGAGTTAAACAAGTTGTGTACATGTCTTTGATAGACCACAATACAACCTAGTTACGTTTGCAAAGATGATAAATAATTCAAAAACTACAGTCCAGTTTCCAGATTTAAGAGCATGATGGTAAGGTCAATGACCCACTCTTCGTGTGGGACTACATTTATTTTTTCATTAATTACGTGTTCAAATGCTGTGAAACCACTGTTTCTATTTACAATTCTTTATTAACTTAACACCTACCAAGTGATTAGTGATTTGTGGGATATATGAAATACTGACTACGCAGATGGCGTTGACCGCTACGCTGAACATTCTTCCCAGTCCAAACTAATATATATATACATGTATATTAGGGTTTAAATATTATATAAAATAATAATAATATAAATGTTTTAAAAACATCAGAGCGCCACCTTCAAAACCGTCTATTTTCAATATATATATATTTTTACTTGTGTTGCATTTAAGTGTATCTACCTTCTAATGACATAATCAAATGTAGAATAAAGCAATAAAGCAATAAGGCAATAATAAAATTATGTTGAATACTTTGAACGAAGCAAGACATTTGCCTTTTATGTTTAATGGACTGTCCTCTTTTTTTATTTGTACAGTATTTTTATGAATGAAGTAAATATATGAAGACTACATTTATGCCTTTGATTCATTGGGAATGTTCCTGCCCAATCACCATCGGCAAATTTTGCGTCACGGGTAGGACCAACGGATCGAAAAGGGTATTAATTCTACGTGAAGAAGCGTGAAAACAGATAACAGTATTAAATCTATATATTTTGTCATACGAGAGTGTCTTCCGTCACATCCAGACCAAATAAACCAAATATTTAAAGTTTAAATATTATTTATGATCCATCATCCCGAAAAACCACAAAACGATTTACTATCTGCAAACTTAGTAGTATTTTTGCGACCTATTTATGCGTTTATCAATGAAACTGGCACTGAAATAGGACTGGGTCTCGTAAAATGAATTAAGATGGTTATTTTCACTTATCAAATAAATGTTTTAATGTATTAAAATATGTCAGTGTATACAAGAAAGGTGAGTAGACTCATGTCAGGTTCAATGTCTAAGAGTATTTCAAAACTATCCAAAATATGATAAAAAGAGAACTGGTATAAATGAAATGACATAATAATGGTGTCATTATCTGTATTGTCATAGAGATATGCTGTCTCCTATATGTAATAATGACAGCTGAATAGTTTAAAAGTTACATCATCATTTTTCACATTTTTGATAAAAGCTCTGCTGAAAGGAGTCCTGTTAAAATTGCCAGAGTAACTTTTTTAATACTCCAAATAATAAAACAGTATAAAGACAGTCTAGCACGTATTTTCTTGAAGTCTGACACATGTGAACAGCAGTTCAATTTTAATGAGTACTTCAACTAACAATATAGAAGATATACAATGAAAACCTTTTTTTCATCAGCAACATTTTCAAGTAATACAGGGTTAGGGTAAATGAGGTCAATCGGGACACCTCGACTATTATTCATAAGTTCTTATCCGAAGTTTGGAAGAAAGAAGCACAGTTTGTAATAGATGGTTTATGAAACAGTGGTGGGATTTGAAACAATTGTCAAAATTGTGTACAATAATCACTTATAAATTGACTCCCGTCAGTTAACAAGACTGTTACAGTGTGACCTGTCATTTCGACTATGACCTCAGGCAGACAACAATTAATTGTGACGTTTTTGTACAGATTTTAACCGTTCATGCGTAAGTTTTCTGTTGTAGAACATGCAGCATATTAAGTGAGTAAACTTAAAGACACTCAGTCGCCAGTTTTAATTGACGGAAATGAATTACGTGAATACAACAACTAACTGACTTAAACTGAGTCAATGTGAGTTGTTAATAGTTCTTGAATTAAAAAGTATTATATATAAAAAGTTTATGTCTAATAATTAGACAATATGAAATATTCTTTTCAGCTTTTGCACCTGGAATTGACAAAACAAAGAATAATTATATATACAGGGAGTAGGACTACTTTTATACTCAAACATGATATGTGCTCGATTTCACTGCGAATTATGTGGGAAATGCCCCGGTGTCACCCTATACAAATTTTGCCATTCAAATAGTGACACAAGTGTTCGTCTCAGAATACCGTTTAGCGTATTTTCTGTTTTCTTTTGGTATGGCGTTACCCAGTAAAGGTGTATTCGGTCGCAATTTGAGATTTTAACCAAGATCTCAGGTCTCACAGATTCCTCTTAAAATAGAATATACTAATGCTGGATTTGACTGACATAACTCATCAGCCTCATATTGTACAGGCCCATGTCCAACTAGTAAAGAAAATGTTTTAATTTTCAGAACTACCACATGTCTGTTATTTAATACAGATATATTTCCTTTTGAAAAAATAGGTAACAATACACCAAAAGGTTCGCCCCTGTGGATTATACGGTCTTTTAACGGAAAATTAGGGTAAAGGAATGCTATTTCATAAAGGTTAGAGAGCAAATCATTAAATCTTTCAGCGGCATGCCCTTTGTTATAGACCTATTAGCCATGCAGTATTATTTAAACCTGTTGATTTACTGAAATCAGTATATCTTTCGAAACCGATCTTTTGTTTTTAGATAATTAGACAGAGTGCTCTAAATATTCAGACCGCAGTGCGAGAATTTCAATCTGTTATTATTATTTTTTTGACATATTTCAGACAGATAATCGTTCTGAAATTACATAACTTTAAGCATGTTTTTTTTTGCAATGCCATATATCTTCTGTGTAAAAACTGCTTAAAAATTGGCAACTCATCTTGCACCGTATATCTGTAGTAAGTCACGAAAATGCACATTACATATATTGTTAACAACTTTAACAAAATAATTTTAACATGATTTAGTTTGATCGTTTGGAGTTTGTTTTAATCTCCTATTTATTTACAAATGTATCCTCTGTTTACTTTACGATATTGTATTTATTGAACATTGTCGAAATCATCACGGTTTTATTACAATAGTACTAACGTTAATTATACAGCCGAACATTTGTCCCGAAATTATCGAAAAGATCAAAAGTTCAAATGTTACAGTAATTAGTAAATTACACTATAAAACGTAGGTCGTATGATTCAGATAGAAAAAAAGAACGTCTCGAATACTCGGGCAAAGTAATAGAAAATTTAAATCTCCTAAACCTTTTATATTTCTTACTAGGCACGTAGACACAATTAGATAACATAATAGCTGGTGATCCTGGGGAAATAATGCTAACATCTGATTCCTATCACCCTACAGGTACGCCCAGAAAGGTGGTCTCATTCTATACATAATGCCAATCAAAGCCTTGTCAAAATTAGCACATGTTACCATTAATGAAAAATTGCCAAGAAATACACCAGATCTTAAGTTACTACCAATTTAGTTTATTAGGTATTTATGTACATTCATAGGAAACAGTCACCTAGGGATTTCCTGCATCCTTCGGTTCAAGAAGTGCACTTTTCTTTCATAGAAAATTCAACCTAGCAATAACTTTAATCCAGCTTCAATAGCTTATGATTATGTCATAATTATCTCTTAGTAAATTGCGGTTGAAAGTTACTCATCTTTAAACTAACATAATAATTATTTGCCTTTAACCGATACTGCTATATATAATGTATCATATCTACTGTGCAAATTAATGCATACTCATACATCAGTCATGTTCGTTTGCAAGGAGGCTGTTTCACCTGAAGACCACCAACAGGTGCGTTCTGTGGATAGTACTTCGTCTAACATCCAGCACGTTTTGTATACACTACGATATTAAGATTTACGTCACTACCATTTCGCTGAACACTGGCAGTCTCTAAAGACTGATATGATTATTGTAAAACTGAAAGGTCAGTGCAGTGGCACGAGATCTCGATTCATTGGTGTTTGAATGCGCTGTTTCTTTTTTACACTTATCGTTTTATGAGAAAGTATTGTACGAAAATCTATATCCAAGGGACCTCAAATAACCTATAGTTGACCGTATGACATCGTGTCGTCTGAAAACCTGCCTTAAAACGTGTAATACACCTGAACTCGTCTGCATTAGTGTGAATACGCTGTCTACCACACAGAGCGTTGACCAGAACAACAGTTGTCCTACCATGCAACAGTAAAACGTACTAGTGCACTCTATGATGCACTATACTCAAAATCAACCGAGAAAACAATATTTCATTCCGATATTATATTTTCTATGTACTATTTTAAATGTCATAAAGTTCAAACAATTTTGTTGCAAATGGGGAAATATCTGTACAGTCCGTGCCGTGCATTTTCATATTCGGATACATTTTACTTAATCGCTTCTTAGACAGTTAAGCGGTCCAGCAAAATACTATTGAATGTCTAACCTGTCCTTAAGTTGTTAAAAATAATTAAAAAAACTTACCATTCCATCGCAAAGACTGAGAGAGGCCTGAGACCACCCACTCCCTGAAACGGTCCCTTCGTAAAAACATGACAAGCCACTTAAAGTGCTATGTTCCTCCAACCAAGTTAAATTCCCTTTAAACTGTTGCACAACAATTCCAGGTGCCACTATGTCATCCTTTCGTGCTAAATTCAACTTTATATTTTTATCACCAAATTCTACAACATAATCCACATTTTTATCCCATAACTCTCGGACACTTCGTTTATGGAAATGTCTTTTATTTGTAACATCCAAACCATTATGATTATCGTAAACTCTTTTAGGAAAGACAGTCAAAACTTCATTAAATTGAAAGTCTCCACCTAAAATGATAAGAAAAAATATGATATTGTGTAATCATAGTACTTTTGCTACCTCTTTAAATTATTGAAAAGTATCACTTAACTATTAAACATTTTCTTACATTTTTAGGCACCATGCAAAATGTTACAATAAAGTATAAAACGGACTTGTTTGCAACTATATCTTTCTACATTGACACGAATTTATCTTTATCAATAACTTTTTTATAATTATGTCAACTCAGCTAAAATAAGCACTTGCACAAACCTTTACCAAGAATATGCACCAACGACGGATCTATCGCAAGGGCTCCATCAATAAAGTACCAAAGTACATAGAGCCCTAAGACCCGAACATCCCGCATGGCTTAACCGGCTGTCCCGTTCATTCACCAGTTTATTCATCCGTTTTCACTCATTCAGATAGAAAGAATATTAGAAATTAGAAAAAAAGCCTATACAGCAATCTCCGACTTCTCTATATAGCACAATAACTACCAGTGGAGTAGTTATTATAAAATACGCTAGAGAACTACCGCTGTCAATCTTGAGGGGAAAGCCACGCCCTCTTATACTATACGCTATTCGCGAATGTCTTTATACTACATTCATTGACTAAAATCGTTGCGCTTTAATTGTCGCACTTTAATGTTGATGTTGACAAAACTCGGGTGTACAACTGAAGAACTTCTCCGACGTCTAAGCATTTTATAAGAAGCATCGATCCCTGTGAATAACAACAAAATAGCAGCTTGCAATACGTCATAAGTTTATCTGAGTACAAATAAATAAAATATGTGTTACGTACGTTAGTCTTTGTGGGGTATTTGGTTTAGAAATAAGGAAATGCTATCAATAATACACAGAATTCAAACTCCAGCGATGAAACAATAGCTTGTTTGACTTTTTTTGCTGTTGTGCTTGCGCAAAGAAACATCTCAAGGGTGGAACAATCCTTGATACTTGAACAATCGTTGGTCGGTTTGTGTTATCATTTTAATATAACTCATGATTGTTTCAGTATATACGATATTTTGTTTTTATTGACACGTAGTTAGAGTAACTTTAATTTAATATAGCAAAAAGAGCCAAAGAAACTTCTATAGGATTTTATAGCACGAGAAATCAGTAACTAAAAAAATGATTATTATATATACTATATTTATTTAGACTAATTAAATCACTATATATACATAATTATACACTGATGTTTGAAGTATTTCGGATTTGGTATTCATTGTGATAAAAAATGCCAAGTAGCTTCTATTATGTATCAAAATTAACTTTCATGTATATATTATGATACAGTCGTAGTTTCGGAATAAATGGTAATGCAAGCATCCTAGTGTATGGTAAATAAGTTTCTTTGGCTAAGCGTAGGAAACACTTTCTTTATTTGAATTTAAAAACATGTAACACATAACATTTATATAAAAGTATACCATACGATATACTTTGGCGCGATTACGGAATAACTAAAAGATAGACGTAGAAAATTAATTTCGTCGCGTTTTAAACTATGAACCGGCACCGGAAACAAATTTTGCCGCATGCGCATTGATGTAAAATGGATCAATAATTTCCCCGACGCTGTAAAAAATTGAAGAATATATGCTTGTAAATTTCCATTTTCCCATCGTGCTTTATTGCATGTTTTGATCTAGATCGACCAATTGGTACTTTATTTTTCTGTTCCCAAAGTATTATTATCAAATTCAATTTTGTTTGCTTGATATTTGCACTGATCTGTGCATGCCATTGTTCTAAAAAATGTTTCGAGGCGTCTTGTTTCTGTTCGAAATCTGACTGAAATTGTTGTATTCTTTTACATGTAACGAAAGATTGACAACTGATTTTGTTCATTTAATTACTCTTTAAGTTTGTGCCTTTACTTGTGCAACTCCTTTCTCTTTCAAAGATCAATACTTTTGTGAATATCATTTCTTTTGTATTTTTTGTTTATGTTTCAGAAAATTTTGCATATCGGACCCTTTGAGTAAAAGTAATCGAAATCTTTCTCCAAATACTGCCCATCCCTCTTGCATACTATTTAGGGCTTTGTATTGTCAGGCAAGATGCTTGACAATATTTTGAGATACAGAAGAGAGATGCACATTGTCGTTAATACAAAAGTGTTTCAGAAAACCCTTAAGAAATAATCTAACAATAATATGTAGTCATCAGTCTTACTATCAAATTATATGAAATGTATGACCCACTAGTAGAATACAGGTTCGCAGAAGTAGAATTGAAATTGAATCATTCATCAAGACAAAATATTTGTCAGTTACGTCCAATTCCTGTTGCATATCCTGGTTGTACTATCTACTGGGAATGTTAGCTTATGTGGCCCACCATCATATATACAGAAATATCTAAAATAAAATAGTTATTTATTGTAGAAGCTACCATTTTTTGATAAAAATAATAATTATCCAAAACAAATTTTAACTAAACATCAAAGAGATAGTTCTGTAAATAACCTCATTTGAGTGGCAGCCGTCTTTGTTTTTAAGTACTTAATACCAGGAAGGACTTTTAAGCAATCTATAAAAAGTTAAAAAACATATATAAATGGTTGCTACTGCTAATGATGCAAAAGTTCTATTCAATATTTATCAATTATCACACAGTAAAAGGGTAAAAATGTGAGCAAATGCTAAAAATGTTTATATATTTTTAAACATCATGATATAAAGTTTAAAGATACATTATTTTATAAATCTTGTTTTCAAATTATTTTATTTGTTGTTTTTTCAGGTTTGTCAGGGCTGCAAGTTTTCAAAATGGTTTTAGATTTTAATCTAAATGTTTTTGTTGAAAATTTGAGAGCAACAAAACCACCATATGATTGCCCAATACCAAACTGTGGCAGAACATATAAGAGTTTCAATGGAATCCAGTTTCACATTTATAATTTTGATCATGAAAATCCAGAAAATAATTCACCAACACCAGGAAAGAAACCTTCCACTGGTAAAAAGAAGAAATGGAAGCACTGGAGACAGAAGTGTGAACGACCCCCAACACCTCCAGAATTTTTAAGACCTCAAGAGACTCTTACTTATGCAGAATCCCAACGATTAGTAGAGATTGACTTAGATGGAAGAATTCATCGTATTAATATCTATGAACCGTTAGATATTGTTTCCCAAGATGTAATTGATAATCAGAGTAATACTGAGAAGGAGGAGAAGGGGGATAAATCACCTTTAAAAAGTATCAAAAGTGGGGAAGGACAGAAGGGACGAAAGGATGCAACAACTTCTAGTCATGGTAACTCTGCAAAACTCCCAGAGGCACAGTTTAAGATTATAGAGGATTATGTTAAACCAACAAAGATCAAGAGCAGGCCAGATTCATACTATCGCTACATCGAAAAATCTGTGGATGAGCTTGATGAAGAGGTTGAATATGACATGGACGAAGAGGTAGTTATCATCCCCTTATTATATGACTTAACATATATTTGCTATTTTGATTAAGTGATATATGAGACTCCTTGGTAAAAATGTTTACAAAATGTTCAAAAATGGAACTAGTCAGTGAGTCTTGACATCAAATTTTGACTTAAGCTTTTCTTGTTTCAACTTGATTTTTGAGTTGCTCAGATTTAATTTTCAACTTGTAAAAGAATATGCCATAGGGTTATAATTATAAGTAAATGCTTGGTATAGTAAAAATTGTTTAAAAATTTGTAGCAGAAAATATGCAGATGTTTTATTTTTTTCATTTTCAGGATCATGCATGGTTAGAAATAGTGAATGAACAGAGAAAAAATAACAGTTTAAATAGTATAACACAGGAAAACTTTGAACTATTAATGGACAGATTTGAAAAGGAAGCTTTCTTCCAAAGTCAGACATCTGGAAAGGATTTATTGCCATCTATAGATGAGGATGCTGTTTGTTCCATTTGTGTAGATGGGGAGTGTCAGAACAGTAATGTTATTTTATTTTGTGACATGTGCAATCTAGCTGTACACCAGGAATGTTATGGTGTACCATATATACCAGAAGGACAATGGCTGTGTAGGAGGTGTCTCCAATCACCTTCACGTGCAGTTGATTGTTGTCTGTGTCCAAATAAGGGCGGGGCATTTAAACAAACTGATGATGGACGTTGGGCACATGTTGTTTGTGCTTTGTGGATTCCAGAAGTAGGATTTGCAAATACTGTATTTCTGGAGCCAGTAGATTGTATGGACAGAATTCCACCAGCAAGGTGGAAACTATCGTGCTATATTTGTAAACAACGAGGTACTGGTGCTTGTATTCAGTGTCATAAGACTAATTGTTACACAGCTTTTCATGTAACTTGTGCTCAGCAGGCAGGTTTATACATGAAAATAGAGGCAATCAGAGAACCAAGCTCTGGTGGTAATACAATAAGTGTAAGAAAAACAGCTTTTTGTGATGTTCATGCGCCAGCAAACTCAGAAGCTGGGAGCACAGGAATGTTTGCAGACAGCGATGACACAGCAGCGAAAGCAGAAGCCAAGGAGAAGTCAAGATTAAAGATGAGAAAAGCAAGAAAGATTTTAGCTGAAAAGAGAAATGCTATGCCAGTAGTTTCTTTGCCAATTATTCCAAAACATAGGTACGTTTTTATACCCCCAAAAACGAAGTTTGGGGGGGTATATAGGAGTCACCCGGTGGTCGGTCGGTCGGTCGGTCGGTCGGTCGGGCGGTCGGTCGGTCGGTCGGTCGGTCCAGACGTCCGTTGCATTTTCCTTGTCCGGAGCATAACTTGAAAACTAATGGTTGGAATTCAATATAACTACATACAATGGTCAAGCACATTGAGAGGAAGTGCAGTGCACAAGAACCATAACTCTATCTTGACTAATTACAGAGTTATTGCCCTTTGTTACTTTTCCTTGTCCGGGGCATAACTTGAAAACTACTGGTTGGAATTCAAAACAACTTCATACAATTGTCAAACACAATAAGGGGAAGTGCAGTGCACAAGAACCATAACTCTATCTAAAGTAATAACAGAGTTATTGCCCTTTATTGCTTTTCCATTGCTTTTTTTTTTGTCCGTTGCATTTTCCTTGTCCGGAGCATATCTTGAAGACTAATGGTTGGAATTCAATATAACTACATACAATGGTCAAGCACATTGAGAGGAAGTGCAGTGCGTAAGAAACATAACTCTATCTTGACTATTTACAGAGTTATTGCCCTTTGTTACTTTTCCTTGTCCGTGGCATAACTTGAAAACTACTGGTTGGAATTCAAAACAACTTCATACAATTGTCAAACACAATAAAGGGAAGTGCAGTGCACAAGAACCATAACTCTATCTAAAGTAATTACAGAGTTATTGCCCTTTGTTGCTTTTCAATTGCCTTCTTTTTTTTGTCCGGAGCATAACTTGAAGACTAATGGTTGGAATTCAATATAACTACATACAATGGTCAAGCACATTGAGAGGAAGTGCAGTGCATAAGAACCATAACTCTATCTAAAGTAATTACAGAGTTATTACCTTTTATTACTTTTCCATTGCTTTCTTTTGTCCGGACCATAACTTGAAGACTAATTGTTGGAATTCATTTTAACTTCATACAATGGTCCAGCACATTGAGAGGAAGTGCAGTGCACAAGAACCATAACTCCATTTTGACTTATTACAGAGTTACTGCCCTTTGTTTCTTTTCCTTGTCCAGAGCATGACTTTAAAACTACTGGTTGGAATTCAAAACAATTTCATACAATGGTCAAGCACAATAAGGGGAAGTGCATTGCACAAGAACCATAACTCCATCTTGACTAATAACAGAGTTATTGCCCTTTGTTACTTTTCCATTGCTTTCTTTTGTCCGGACCATAACTTGAAGACTTATTGTTGGAATTCATTATAACTTCATACAATGGTCAAGCACATTGAGAGGAAGTGCAGTGCATAAGAACCATAACTCCATCTTGACTAATTACAGAGTTTCTGCCCTTTGTTACTTTTCCTTGTCCAGAGCATGACTTGAAAACTACTGGCTGGAATTCAAAACAACTTCATACAATGGTCAAGCACATTAAGGGGAAGTGCAGTGCACAAGAACCATAACTCCATCTTGACTAATTACAGAGTTATTGCCCTTTGTTACTTTTCCTTGTCCAGAGCATAACTTGAAAACTACTGTTTGGAATTCAGTACAACTTCATACAGTTGTCAAGGACATTCAAAGGAAGTGCAGTGCACAAGAGCCATAACTCCATTTTGACAAAATACAGAGTTACTGCCCTTTGATACTTTTCCTTGTCCGGAGCATAACTTAAAACATACTGGTTGGAATTCAAAACAACTTCATACAATGGTCAAGCACAATAAGAGGAAGTGCAGTGCACAAGAACTATAACTTTATCTTCAGTATTTATAGAGTTATTGCCCTTTGTTCTTTTTCTTTGTCTTTCTGGACTTATTACAGAGTAATTCAATTAAACTTCATCAATGGCCAACCACATTGAAAGGAAATGCAACATACATGAACCACAATTATCTTTAATTGCCCACAACCATAACTCTATGTTTCAATTCTTTTACAAGGTATTCTGTTACTAGTAACATCCTCATTTCCGAAGCAGACTTGTGGGGGTATTAATCACATTTAGTGATAGTTCTAGTTTCATAAAAATTTAGATAACTTAAGAAAATAAGAGTGGCTTGGAAATTCGGGTACTCTGTAGCCAATTGGCTTTAAATCATAGCTACTCTGCTAGCTTATGGAAGGTATATGGTTCAACTTTGATGCGTTTTTGTGCTTGAAATATTGCACGAAGGAACGATCACTTATAAAGAAGGAAAGTTGCCATGATAGTATGGTTGCTCAGTATCTAGGTGCACATATATAGAAATAAAACTAGTGCTATATTTAAATGTTTACATTTCTAATAAAAGGATTTTGTTGACATAATAATGGTAGTACACTCTGTCTAAAATTACAGATTAACTTGATAAATCTGAAAGCACTATTATTAAAACACATTGAAATATTTCTGCTCTGAATAAGTTAAAAATTGAGTATTGTGAAAATACTATGATAGTTACACAGTCAACTCGAAAGTCAAAATTTTTTTCCAGCCACAAGGACTGGGATCCTTAGATTTATTTCCGGCCCTGATGATTTTTTCCCAGCCCGGACTCTGAAAGGTATTTTTTTGTAGGGGTGGGGGAGGGATATTGCCATAGTTATAAACAAAAATATTTAGCAAATATGAATTATCAGACTCAACTATAAGATGCTATGAAAAAAATATACAGAAACATAATAAATAAAACATGAACATAATTCACAAGAAAACAATACATCTTTCAAAGGTTTAATTTTGAAGATTGGAGAAAAAATATGTTTTGGTAAGGAAATTATCCAAGACAAGTCACAAGATGGTGGCTTACATTACTTAGCAAAAATTGGTTGTATCTTGCGGTGATTTTGGTTATCTGGGTCTGTAAATACAAGCAAAAATAAAAAAAAGCTCGATCTTTGAAGTTTTGCATATTTTAGAAGGCTAAAAATTGTTTAAAACTGGCTGAAATTTTATTCAGACACAAGGACTGACTTATCGAAATTTATCTCGGGGGCCCTCCTGATTTTTAGTTGGCGAGGTCCGAGGACCAACAGACTTTCGCAAAGACTGATAGTATATGTACAATAAATTATTCACAAAGTTAGTTTCTTGATGCATGAAAATGAAGGCAAAAATGAGTTAGGGTTAGATTGTGTTATACTTACATCTTTGAATTTTGTTTAAGGCTGGATAAGATTTGCAATGTAGTGACATTTGGCAAGAAACAACAGTTCCTTACCCGTCTATTAAGCTACTGGACACTCAAGAGACAATCCAGAAATGGAGTTCCTCTCATTCGTAGGCTACAGACAAATCACATGTCCAGAAAAGCTGAGGTAACTACAATTAGCTTTATTGTTATATAAAAAATTAGTATAGAAATATGACTAAGTGATGACACAGGTAGTTTATTATATGTTTGTTTATTTTGCATTTGTGGACAACTTTGGTTACATAGAGTAAACACTGCATCTGTGTATGAGTCATCTGAAATATTTGCTAATTAATTGTAAAATAAGTAGTAATTATCTATGCAGAATCTCGGAATGTTAAATATGTGAACTGACTACTGATTCAGAAGTTAAATATTGCTGAAGGACCAAATCAAACAAAATTAATATAACACTTTAAAAAGTTTTTCCTTACATCTGTTGTTTAGCCAAAGAATGACAAACAGAGCAACGCTCTACGTGAGCAGTTGAAGTATTGGCAGAGGTTGAGACAGGATCTTGAAAAAGCTCGACTTCTAGTAGAACTCATTAGGAAGAGAGAAAAACTCAAACGTGAACAGGTTAGTGTAAACAACCTTGAAGTACAAAAAATAATGAACCTTGAAAATATAAAGAAATGTATGTCTATGTTGTTTAATTTACTTATACTTGTTCATCAAATTTTAAAATGTTAGTATTCCTAATTAATGTAGATTCTGATACAAAATTACAGGAAATATTTTAAACAAACCCAAATAAGTGGTTACAGAAAATATTAGTCTTAATTATGGGAAAGGTTTGCCATCTTGTAACAGTTCTGTTGTCTCTTAAAATGTGGAGTTCTGTATTGGACACAAGATTATTTCTTAAAATATGGAGTTCTGTATTGGACACAAGATTATTTCTTAAAATATGGAGTTCTGTCTTGAATACATTTGTATTGGTTTGGAAAACCCCCTTGGCAAGTGTTTGTGGCAAGTGTTTGTATATTCCATCCATCATACTTACCTAGCAACATCATTAAACCAGTTTTGCTGTTGTGCATTTATATTAAGTTGTAAGTGCTGCTATTTACTTGATTGTTATACTCTATTTTCTAAGTTACTGCTTCCGATATACAGTTTTATTATACTAAAGTACTCATGACTGTTATTTGTTTATCAGCTGTAAGTTGCTTATATACAAGCCAAGGTCCTGAATGTTATATTACCTGTTTGGTGACTTGTAGTTCAGACTAAAGTGTGTGACATATTTTACTATCTTTGGGTTGGAATCTTGCTAAGATCAGTAAGAAGACTAATGTCACTTTCTCACTCTAAAATGAAGTTTTATTCTTTCATTTCATTTTCAAAAGGTAACAAAGTGATATTTTGACTTATTCTCCATTTCTATAAACTTCTTCATAGCCTTGGTTCAGGGCTATATGACTCGGAACACAATAACATGAATGCAGTAAAAATGATAAATTTTAATGCCCTATTTAATAATGAAGTTGTTGTTTTGTTGGAATGAGAACTTTTCTATTGGATGATATAGACTTCATACATGAATGATCAAATCTCAATGACAATCTCCGAGTATGACTAGTTTCATAAAGTAGTTAACTTTCAAAGTAAACAGTACATTATCATTTATTACGACATAAAAAAATTGACAGTAATGTTGAAATGACATATGCCATGATAGAGGGATTACTGTAATTAACCCTAATTTAAAAGGTTACATTTTTAACAGTTTTTTGTGTTTTTTTTGGGTTTGAATGATTTTAACACTTGTATATATATGCCTCTTTTTATAAAAATAAAATCTAGCTTAATTGGAGCAGTAATGATTGATTATAATTGTAAATGTAGCAAATACTGGTCTTAGATCCATCATAATAGAGAGGAAACTATGATTTAGATTATTGAAAGGTTTTCTAAGTGTATTATTCGAACTTAACAGCTTTTCTGACTTCAAAAACATTTTTTTACTGAAATAAATGACTAAAACAAATACTTAGCATTTTATTATTGTGCAATAATTACCCACTTAGAAAATTATTTTTGTTAGTGAATGATAAACTAGAGAGGGGTATAAAATGATAGGTTATATGCATATAGATGGGATGGTAAAGACATCTACTTGCTTTTCCCGTTTGTACAATAGAGACTTGTGAGATAGTCAAGTCTGGCAGTCTGCCTGTAATGTATATCACACTCACAATGCAAATCTGGGTTGCATACCACTATATTTTTCTCTCCCTTATATCTGATAACTTTATTTTCTCATGAAATGAAGAAGGATCTGCAGTCTGTATTTTGTTTGAGGCCCTGTTGCATGCTAGTAATGCATGAATGTACTTGTCAAAACATGGGGAATGACATAAAAACTCAATTAATGAACAGCATATGTGAGGCCAAGTGCATTTTATTTCAAATTCCTTTTGCTTTATTGAAACTGCCTCAAAGAGATGTGCTATATACACTGAATGCATCGGTAGAATATTATACGGGAAAACTTTAATACAAATGAATACTGATTGTTATTCCTAATAAGTTTTATTAAAAAAAAAATTTGTGACCTGCCTTTTGATTTTGAGAGAATGAATATTATATTAAACATGTCTACTTTGTAATAAAGTTTATCAAAATAAGTTATTGTTATAACTGGGTAGGGCAATTTGTTATTTGTTTGTTGTATGTGCAGTGCAATTAACATTGAAGAGGAATAACATATAAATATCATATTTTGTTATTAATGTATTATGATGTTTATCAAAATAAGTTGTTATTAACATGTAGGAGGCAAATTGTCATGAATCTTTGCATCCACGATTTTAGAATCAAAATATACTGGTTTAATTAGATTATAATTGCTTGCACATGTTCAAGTCTACCCAAGTATTCTTGTGCAAATAACTGTGATTCCACTCATGCAGTATTTGCATACTTAAAAGTTTTTTCATACCAATGATTACATATGTAAAAGTTTTGTTAACACCCATGAGTTTGAGTTCAGTCAGATATGTTGTACATGGTTTGTATTCAATTATTGTTCTCGTAGTTGTAATTGTGAGGGGGTCCCTCATACATAATCGTCTGAAACATACCCATTAATGATATTTTGAATATAACTTATAAGTACTTGTTAAAAAAAATGTGACACAATATCTGATAACAAACATGCAATTCAACTGACTTTGAAAGGCCATTTGATTCTGATTCTTATTTAAGCCTGCCTTCAGCCACCAAATATGACAATAGAAAGGGAAAATTACTAGTATCATAAATGACTCACCTTCATAAGTTTAAAAATAATTTTGTTTATGTTTTTTATACATTTCTACATACAAAAATACATACAAAATTAACCTTTAACACTAAAACTGTTGATGTAAATATCATTATGTCATAACATAATTAACTTTATTTTATTACTTGATAAAAATGTTTTATAGCTTAAAGATTGTAAAATGTTACAAAGGTTAGGTGTTTTAATAATTGTCAAAACATTATGGACAAATCTCGTCTGTAAGTTGTCAGCTTGGAGGAATATATGCAATAATGTCACTGTGTGCATTTCTTGGTAAAATCTTCTTGATTCCTAAATTTGTCAAAGGATATCTGTGTTATTCAACTTATTCCAAACCATTTATTATAAAGTGTTGTCCCATTGCCCACGTCTGCTTTTATATTGCTGGATACACCTTGAGAAACATTTTGAATTAACATAAAAAAAGAACTTTTTCATGTTAATAAATTTCCTAACAATACTGATTATTAATGATATTAAATAAGAAATAATTGTTGTTTTCGTGGAACTTTGTTTGGTTGTGTTCCCCAAAATCTATGCAACAGTGCATTTCTTGTATTATAACAGTATATGGTATAAAAAGGGTATGAGTTTCAAAGTTCAACTAAAAGAAGATGTTTAACTAATATACTTCTCTCCATTGGCATGGTGTAGAGATTTATTTTATTTTTGTCTGCATCTTTACAACTGCAAATCTTGGTTTAGAATGCATCCTGTGTCTTCTTGTTTAATACTTGATCCTTAGGCAAACATGAAAATACAAAATGCTAACTTCAGACTAATGCTGTTCAGTAAAATGATTCATTTAACAATATGCTTATGTAATACGCTTGTTCTTCAGTCCTAATTTAATGGATTTACACTCCTACAAAAGCCATTAAACTTTGCTATTTAATGCATTAGATTGAATTAAAACTCTTCTGTTAATCAACATTGACACATTGTTTGACAAATTTGTCAGGACATTTACATGCAAAAACAGTCTTAATGTTTTAATTTACACATTTTTTGTCATGTTAAAGTTGAAGGCTATATATATTTAGTACCTATTATAGAAGATATGAGCCGCGCTATGACAAAACTAACATAATGGGTTGCGACCAGCATGGATCCAGACCAGCTTGCGCATCTGTGCAGTCTGATCAGGATCCATGCTGTTTGCTATCAGTTTCTCTACTTGTTATAGGGTTTGTAAGTGACCAGCATGGATCCTGATCAGACTGCACGGATGCGCAGGCTGGTCTGGATCCATGCTGGTCACAAACGTATTATGTTGGTTTTGTCATGGCGAGGCTCATATGTTTTTGACTTCTCTCAGTGTTATCAGGATTCAGTTAATAGAATTCAGTTTATACCTAAAATAATGATAGGTTTCAACTCAAAGAATTGTGCATGAAATTATTGAAACAAATGCAGTTTCAAGGGAACTTTACTTGGCAACTGAAATCAAATTCAAGGCATCCTTCTACCAGAAATATATAAAAGTGAAGATCCTGTAATTTAATTGAGTTTTATGTAACAGTCATTTAGTGAAGAAGGCACAATAGTATTTACTCAAAAACTTCCACTCTACAAAATATAATGTTTACCGAATCTGTCCTCACACAGTATATTTCTGTGGTAATCATAGTCATAACCCATAGTTATAAAATTGTTTGTAAGTTTGAAGTGACCTTTACTGTTCAATTGTCAGACTTTTATACTAAAAAATATGCCTTAAAAATATCCGGACAAAAAATCTAACCAAATTATAAATTTCAAGCTTATTTGTTTGTTTGGTTAACCTTGTTTATAATATGGACCATGTGGTGCAAAATCATTCATTTTTCAAAGAAAAAAATTGATGTATTCTTTATCATATTTGTTTAGGGAAGTAAAAAATTGAAAGAAAAAAAAGTTTGAAAATAGAGCCACAAAAGATTATCGGGTTCATATTTTGATTGACAGCTGCAGTAGTTATAATATTTGCTTGATCAGCATTAATCAGGTATCGTGACACCTTAAACAGGTGAGAGTCAGACTAAATAGCCCATTTCTAATTGATATTTAATTAGAGTAAGATACTGAAACTACTGTATCAGTGATAACCATCTTAAACTGCATGTACATACCTCTGAAAAATGTTGATTTTATCGTATGGTTTTATTTCATATATATTGCAGTTTTGTGCAGATTATATCTAATTTGCTATGTTGCACTGGGTCTGTAACGATAAGACAGGGAGTTTTTATGAATGATTTTGGCAGATTTCACGATCGTAAATTTTGCAAGCTCGATCCTGGTTTATGTTTTAAGGTATTTTTGATTAGGGATATATGTAAATGCACCTGAAATTTGATCAAAAAAATTAATTAATTGATAGAACTTTAATTAATATTTTATAGTTTAAGGAATGTATATTTTTGATGTTTTTTTGCATATGATTTTATTTCATGGATTAATAACATGAATAAATAATTTTATTGTATCCGGTACTTTGAATGATTAAAACTAAAGAAATTTTATATTATGAAAGTGAAAAAATTTGAATTCACTAATTTGTAACACAAACTTTTTTCATATGAATGCACGTTTGTTTGTTCATTAAAATTAAATGGGTGTGACAAGAACATGCATCTGATCTATGAAACTTTGTATGAGAGATTAAGATATTCTGACATTTGCTGGTCTTTTTTGTTTTTTGTTTTTTTAAGAATGGGAATTTGAAAGCCAAGTTTAATTTACTTTATATAAAAATAAAAAAAACTACCATTTGTGACAGAAATTCATTTTGAAAGAATTTGAAACAGTTAACTAAAGATGTTTGATTAGATTCAGAAATGTATTTTCGGTTCTCTTGATGTTGTTTAGGTACATGAAGTTCACTGTTAATTTGTTCTATAGAGAGGCTAGGAAGTGTGTTACATGCCCCAATAGTCTGTTATTGTCATTAATCCTCATAAATCACTGTAATCTACAAAAAAATATTTCAATTCTTGCATGACTTCAGACAATGGGTATATAACCTGTTGTGTATCATACCCAGCAATCACAGGGTTAATTGTAGTTCATACAAATTTACCCTCCTGTTCTTGCCCACCTGTTATGCTTTTGATAAAAAATTGAATACTGACTGACTTTTATTCATGTGCCTGTTTCCATTTTGGAATTCTTCAGACATATAGAAAATTTAAGCCCATCTGACTTGATAAAATTTTGTTGATTGTGCATCTTTGCTAAAATTTTCATGCATTCATAAATCCCTGCTCTTTACGAAGTATTAAAATTCTAAGATGAAATAAAAGTATATTGGTTTACCAATTGTAGTATATTTGAACTTAATGAAGTACTTAAGCATTCTTTAGAGGTTTTGGGGATTTTATCACATAAAATATTGTTTCACAGGAATACTGGAAAACAATTTTCATCAATTGAAAAAAGTAAATAGTTAGCCATTATATTTTATTCATGTAGTGAACTATTATTTACAGTTACGTCTACATCAGATGGCAACAGAATTAAAGTTGCAGCCCTTTGCCTTCCTTCTCCGTAATGCTTTAGATCAACTTGTTGATGTGGACACAAATAGAATTTTCTCTGAGCCTGTTAATAGAAAGGAGGTAAAGTGTTGAAAATTATTTTGAAAAAAAAATGTAGTTATGCTGTCCTATTTTGAAATCAGGTTTGTGTATGATTAATATGCAGAATTATTTCCACTTGTATTTAGATTCTAGCAACATTATCAAACCTAGTCTGAAGTAAATTAGCCAAAAGTGAATGGTATGATTGTCACTTGATGCCAATACATTATGATGAAGATAGACTGTAAAAAGTTCTGTAAAAGACAATTATGAGTGCATAACAAGTTAAGATACAAAAAGATTATATTGTTCATATTTTTAATTTTAACTTTTAGGTACCAGATTATTACAATCATATTGAGCACCCGATGGATTTTGCTACAATGAGGGTAAAGATCTCAGAACAAAAATATAAAACAATGGATGATTTTGAGGCAGACTTTGACCTAGTTGTTAGAAATTGTATATCGTACAATGCCAAGGACACAGTGTTTTATAAAGCAGCCATCAAGTTACGAGACCAGGTATGTTGTTTTAGTTACAGGATCGCGGAATGTTTGACCATAAAATCAAGATTGCTTCTTCCAAACACTGGGCTAAATCTTAATCATACACAAGCGGTCTGCCCAGTTTTCCTTGTGACTATCAAGCCAAATGCTTGTCACTGCACATAGGAATATTTTAGGTCTTCACTCTTTTAGTTCCACTTTTTAAAACTTTTTAGTTAAGTTTTTATTTATGGCTATTTACTTTATTACAAAGCTATTACATTGAAACATTATATGTGAATGGCCTTTGATTTGTTTAAAGAGCGTAAATATATTGGAGAGAAAAATTTGTGAATCTAATTCTTACGTGCCTTTGCAATACATTGGATGGTTCAGCTTCCCTCCATGCGTTGACATGTATTTGATAATTATGGTGTTTACAGGGAGGAGCAATTATACGATCGGCAAGACGTACAGCGGAAAGGGTCGGGTATGATCCCGATACAGGTCTCCATCTACCTGATCCACCACAGGAACAAAAGAAAGAACCTGTGATACTTGAAGATTGTAAGTGAACAATGATTTTTTTCCCATTCGCATCATAACTTGAATATGTATTTGTTATTGCTATTCTGATTTGATAGAGTTTGTTATGTTTTTCAAAATTTTAAAAGAATTATAAACAACAATAATTTTAGATTAAAGTATCAGTTTTAGCAGAAATGATTATTCTGATGAATATATGTTCTCTTTTGTCAAGTATTGCATATAAAAATTGAAACTATGTTAAGAAGGAAAGGAAGTTGGACACCAGATTTGGTGTAGGGTACCTTGATACCTTATGTATTGATCGTTTTTTGTCAATTAATGGCATTCATCAAGATAAAGATTAAAAGTGAAAGATAGTTTCATATATTTTAAAAACTGTGTCTGCAAATTAATAAAAAAAACATGCTCATTGTTCTAATAATTTATGTTATGTTGGAATTACATTAACAAAATCGTTTCTTGTCTTATAATTTTGTTGTACACTTAATAAATTTAATTATTTTTATTTGACAAATTTATAATGTTAAAAACATGAAATTATTTTACATGTTTATTTATCTATGTTTCAGTTGACACATTCCTGGAAAGCAAAGATGATTTGCCTCTAGATGAGCAACTTAGAATATTACTGGAGAAAATGGATATGGCTAGTCTATCTAGTAAGTTAATGTTATGCTTTTATTTAGTGGATCATAATCAGATTTTATTTTGAGTAAAGATTGCAATGTATATATGATTCTATATATAAAATTTGCTGATATGTATAAAACGTAAATCAGAGTGAAGTGTGTAGAAAGTTTACATATGTAAGAGGAGCTATCTGTTCATAGGAATAGAATAGGGAGTTCTTCTCATTCTTCAATTTCCCCAGTTTTTTGTGAACCCTACCCTTAATGATAGTATATCTAAATAAAAAAGATAGATATAAAAATGTGTCTGCAGTGTTAACAAGTAGCTGTGCTGGAGGTGTTGGGTTTAAATTAATTAGCTCCAATAGCAAACTATGTAACATCATATAAAGCTTCCTTTCATGACATACAAGGTAAGAATAAACACTAGGAAATAAAGGCCTTTTTATTGAAAAATAGAAAATATATATGTATGAATTAATTTTGTTTTAGAGAGAAAGTCGAAGCTGGCAAAGAGGATAAGAAGAGAGATTATAAAAGTACGTAAGAAGTTGGCAATACAGAAAGGCATTCCAAACAGTGATATGGAAGAGAGTGTCCAGGATACTGGTAAATTACTTCATCATATTGTTGTGAGGTCATTAGTTTGACCCTTGACTGAATCATCCTAAACAATGTTATAATTTTAAGAAGTAGATTTCTTTATTTAATCTCGGCATAAAGATCATTAGTCTAGGATCTAGTCTAGTGCAAGTTTATAGGGTGTTGGTAAGGTTTTATGCCAATGTGTTCGTATGTTTAGTCTAGTGTTAGTTTATAAGGTGACAGTAAGGTTTCATGCCAATGTGTTAACTGTAAACATTAGGTTACATATAGTTTTTTCTTGCATATCAGACTGGCATTTCTGTTAGATTTACCCATGGGTGGATTCCTGAGGGACAGATATTCCAATCTGAACCGCAACATATGACAGATATTATTATTATATACTGTCATATCTTTTTCAGATTGATTATTGAGTATATTCATTATTTATATAATAAAAAAAACAACATTTACAAATACATTAAACAGCACTGAATATTTGACAGAAACAATTAGATAAACAATTTTCTTGTCAACACAAGTATGTACAGTTTTTACTGGTTATATTTTAGCATCAGAGGAGGATGATGATGGATCAGTAGATTCAAGTAGTAGAACAGCTTCCCCTGTGAGAAAAGATACCAGGAACAAATCTCCCCCAAAGTCTCTCAAGATCCCAAAATCTCCAGCACCATCAGAAAAACATGTTGGACCGAAATCTCCCAAAACCCCACTCAGCCCAAAAAGTCCTAAAGGTCAAAAAGGAAGCATATTGCGGAAAGGTCCAAGTATTCCATCATCAAAATCATTAGAAAAAGGTGCTACAGGCACACCTGGACGAGGTACTCCCGGAAGAGGTCGTGGGCGTGGTAGAGGAAGAGGTCGTGGCAGAGGTCTCAGTATAAGAACTGATTCAGAATTGGATCCTGGAAAGCAAGGTGAGTTTAAATTCTGAATTATTATACCCCCAAAAACGAAGTTTGGGGGGGTATATAGGAGTCACCCGGTGGTCGGTCGGTCGGTTGGTCGGTCGGTCGGTCGGTCGGTCGGTCCAGACGTCCGTTGCATTTTCCTTGTCCGGAGCATAACTTGAAAACTAATGGTTGGAATTCAATATAACTACATACAATGGTCAAGCACATTGAGAGGAAGTGCAGTGCACAAGAACCATAACTCTATCTTGACTAATTACAGAGTTATTGCCCTTTGTTACTTTTCCTTGTCCGAGGCATAACTTGAAAACTACTGTTTGGAATTCAAAACAACTTCATACAATTGTCAAACACAATAAGGGGAAGTGCAGTGCACAAGAACCATAACTCTATCTAAAGTAATTACAGAGTTATTGCCCTTTGTTGCTTTTTCCATTGCTTTTTTTTTGTCCGTTGCATTTTCCTTGTCCGGAGCATAACTTGAAGACTAATGGTTGGAATTCAATATAAGTACATACAATGGTCAAGCACATTGAGAGGAAGTGCAGTGCGTAAGAAACATAACTCTATCTTGACTAATTACAGAGTTATTTGCCCTTTGTTACTTTTCCTTGTCCGTGGCATAACTTGAAAACTACTGGTTGGAATTCAAAACAACTTCATACAATTGTCAAACACAATAAGGGGAAGTGCAGTGCACAAGAACCATAACTCTATCTAAAGTAATTACAGAGTTATTGCCCTTTGTTGCTTTTCAATTGCCTTCTTTTTTTTGTCCGGAGCATAACTTGAAGACTAATGGTTGGAATTCAATATAACTACATACAATGGTCAAGCACATTGAGAGGAAGTGCAGTGCATAAGAACCATAACTCTATATAAAGTAATTACAGAGTTATTGCCCTTTATTACTTTTCCATTGCTTTCTTTTGTCCGGACCATAACTTGAAGACTAATTGTTGGAATTCTTTATAACTTCATACAATGGTCCAGCACATTGAGAGGAAGTGCAGTGCACAAGAACCATAACTCCATTTGACTTATTACAGAGTTACTGCCCTTTGTTTCTTTTCCTTGTCCAGAGCATGACTTTAAAACTACTGGTTGGAATTCAAAACAACTTCATACAATGGTCAAGCACACTAAGGGGAAGTGCAGTGCACAAGAACCATAACTCCATCTTGACTAATTACAGAGTTATTGCCCTTTGTTACTTTTCCATTGCTTTCTTTTGTCCGGACCATAACTTGAAGACTTATTGTTGAAATTCATTATAACTTCATACAATGGTCAAGCACATTGAGAGGAAGTGCAGTGCATAAGAACCATAACTCCATCTTGACTAATTACAGAGTTACTGCCCTTTGTTACTTTTCCTTGTCCAGAGCATGACTTGAAAACTACTGGTTGGAATTCAAAACAACTTCATACAATGGTCAAGCACAATAAGGGGAAGTGCAGTGCACAAGAACCATAACTCCATCTTGACTAATTACAGAGTTAGTGCCCTTTGTTACTTTTCCTTGTCCAGAGCATAACTTGAAAACTACTGTTTGGAATTCAAAACAACTTCATACAGTTGTCAAGGGCATTCAAAGGAAGTGCAGTGCACAAGAGCCATAACTCCATTTTGACAAAATACAGAGTTACTGCCCTTTGATACTTTTCCTTGTCCGGAGCATAACTTAAAACTTACTGGTTGGAATTCAAAACAACTTCATACAATGGTCAAGCACAATAAGAGGAAGTGCAGTGCACAAGAACTATAACTCTATCTTCAGTATTTAAAGAGTTATTGCCCTTTGTTCTTTTTCTTTGTCTTTCTGGCTTATTACAGAGTAATTCAATTAAACTTCATCAATGGCCAACAACATTGAAAGGAAATGCAACATACATTAACCACAATTATCTTTAATTGCCCACAACCATAACTCTATGTTTCAATTATTTTACAAGGTATTCTCTTACTAGTAACATCCTCATTTCCGAAGCAGACTTGTGGGGGTATTAATCACATTTAGTGATAGTTCTAGTTTAATAAATGTTTAACAAAATCCAAGGAAATTAATGATATTTAAAAGTATGTTGGAGTCATGCTAAAATTTGGTAACCCTATTAAAATTCTAAGTGTATATTTGCAAGTAATGAAATTAAATCTTGATGGTAATAGAATTTTTTTTTCATTTTACGTAATTGTAGATGACAAGACAAACAGTGAAGATCAAAATAAACCAGGAACACCTACAAGTGTTCAGTCCGATCATTCATCTGCATCAACTCCTACACCAGGGGTAAACAGACGGACGGCTGTTCTCTTCAGCAAGAAAGGATTGAAGAAAGAAGCAGTTAAAGATGCAACAAATACAACTAATACTCCACCAAGAAAACCAGGTAGACCGCCTAAGGTCAAGATCCAAGATAAAGATAAGAATGCATCGGATTCCCCACAGCCCCCTGTGCTTGAACTTATGATCCCGTCCCCTGGCAAGTCCCCTCGCAGCCCCGGGGTACGTAAACGCTCTGCTAGTGCAATAGGAATGCAGAATTTAGATTCGGTTCCATCTCCACCAAAGAGGACAATGTCTGTAACTGAACCACTGCCATCATTCTCAGAACCACCTGATATTACTAGGCGAGACAATTTTATGACATATAGGCTTGGTGACCATATCCGCAGCTCTTCCGAGTCAGAAAGTACATCTGGTATGAGCAGTAGTGATGAATCCCTCTCTGACTCTTCAAGTACTGGATCAAGTGATAGTAGATCTGGTAAGTTTTTATTTATCAAAAGCTTAGTGTTAACCTGGAGTTAATCTTTAGAGCCAGTGTGTAATAATAGTTATTCAGTTGTCCTATTTGTATAATGTACCGAGTAAAACATTGTTTAGATTGATTCTTCCTAAAGTTTTATAGGTAAGCATGAGTTATGCAGGATGCATGGCATGGCTGCATGCATTAACATATTTGACAGTATATCTGGCGAAATAAATCGAAGATGTTTATATTTCCTTATAATTTCATCATCTTATTTTATACATGCCCTTGAAAACCATATTTACTTCAATGTTCTGTGTTTTTACAAGGTGTGTAAGGCTTATGTGTTTTTATTTTATGTTAAGGTTGTGATGTATTGTGTATTTTGCTTTCTCACTTTTATGCTTCTAAAAATAGCCATGTGTACCTTTCACCAAAATTACATATTAATATTTATTTAAAGTAGAATGATTATATGCAATAGTCATAAGCCATCCAAAAAAAGAAAAGAAGAAAAAGAAAGAAAGGAAAGGAAAGAAAAAATGTCGAAACATCAGTTGCTATTAGAGTATTACTTTAACTTTATTCTCACAAAAAAAAGCTGAAATTTGACAAAATAAAACACTGATGTATAATTTAAAAAATGACTGCATGTAGTTTTGGTGAAGCATAGCTTTCAAGTGTTGCACATTAAGATTTTCTTTTAATGTTAATTGTGTTCAGTTTTTCCTTCTTTTTTTTAGCTCACCTGAGCAGAAAGTGCTCAAAATATGAAAAGAAGTTTTTAAAGATCACTTTTACATACAGACTATTATTTTGATGTTCTTATCATATTGAATTGGCTTTGCTGTAAATAATTATTTTGTTATTAAACAGCTTTCATCTTTGAATAAAATTCAATGACATATGGATAAAGACAACGCTTTGTGTCATGGGTGTTCCAGTTTGTATTCTCTTGAACATATTTTACTAAACCTGATAGACATATATATTGATCAAAGTTTCAACGTAACATTGATGTATCTTAATGAAGTGGAAGAGAACAAGTTACATCAGTGTTCTGTTAAAACCTTGAATTTGTCAGCATTTTGTGCATGCTTCTCTCTCTATATGTTTGCTTGCTTCCTGTTTTTGGTAGAGTTAAGCACTTCGGGCACAATGCAGCAGCTTTACACAGATAGTGAGTGCAGCGAGGACGCAGGTGACAACACAACTAAACGGTCTTCAGGTGAGCTGCGTTCCCTACACTTAATACAAACAATAATGATCACATTAACACCTCTAATTATTTGCACTACTTAAAAAGCTTTTTGTGGCTGTGGGAAAGGTTTCCAGAGCATTCCGAGTATAAATCAGTGGAAATATATCTTGTTTACATGGTTCAGTATGACTGTAAATTTGTTTTTCTATAAATCCGGGGGTTGCAAACTTGATCTCTTGCTATTCAGTCTAACTTTTCTAATATTCTTCCTAAAAAATCAAATGAGAAATGTATCATTAGTGAGATTTGACTAAGAAAATTATTTGAAATTGAAGTCATTTCTATCATTTAAAATGACACGTACATTAGATGTATTTTGGGCATATTTCTATAAAGAAGGAATGCTTTGGGAACCATATTTTCAATTTATTAACATTGTGATGGAGAAGCTTGAATTATATATGGTATTTTTTTATCATTTTGAACTGATGTTTTATGTACATGTGGATTGATTTCTTTTGTATATTTATGTGTGCTACATATTATTGTCAGATTGTTACAGTTGACCAGAGGATTAAATGGTGATAAGAAATATCTATGAGAGATGTATTTTACTCTTTAGAACAATGTTTATTTGCCACAGGATTATCAGCTAGAGTAATAAAGAATACCAAGGTAACTGGAATATCAAAGTCAGAATCAGATAATCAAATAAGTTTGAACAAAAATAGTTCAGGTCTTTTGAAAGGATTTCAGAATCTGATTAAACCAAGTACCAGACAGTCCCTAAGAAATATGTTAAAGAGAAATAAAATGACAAGCAAGAATAATGTAAGTCTACAAAGAAAAACTGAGGAAATTCAGGCAGATGATGTTATAAATAGCTTAGCTAATGAAATAAGTAATAAAGTAGGAACAGACACTGAGAAAGAAAATGAAGAAAGGTACAAAATAAGGGATCAGCTTGGGGGAGGAGATAATGCTATTGAGACTATACATGATGCTCACAAGGGTGAAACAGGAAGTAAAGAAAAGGTGGTTATTGAAGATAAATGTATTGAAGTGTATGATGGTCTTCAGAGTCCAAGTCTTGTAAGTGAAGGAAATAAAAGTCCGCAGCAAGTGTGGACGGTGTATGATGACTTACCTAACATGGATGAGAATCTTTATGATGATCTTTTTAGAGCCAAGAAGAATAATGTAGACAAGGCTGGTAGCAGTATAAGAATGTCATACTCATGTACAGATGGGTCTGTCAAAAAGTCTACAAAAAAGATAAGAGACAGTTTCTGTTCAAATTTACTTGTTATTCCATCTAAACCAGTAAATAAAAGGCAGAACAAGTTCAGAGCTCTTGGAGACATTATTGACACAATTAGATATGATTCAACTGACAGTGTTGAAAGAAAAGAATATACTGAAGATGTAATTGCCGAATGCACTTCAGGATCCATAATGAATGACTTACATACAGATATGAAAAGAGGGTCACCTATAACAAGACAGGATCAAATATTGAAATTAAGAAACGGCGCTGAGAAAAGAGTGGTTACTATCACCTCAGAAATGCAAAGAGGGAATAGCAAACTTTCAAAAGATATTGTCAGTCCCAAGGCTGAGCAAGATGACATAAAAATAAAGAACATTTGTAACAGAGCTATGGATGAAGGAAATTTGAAGTATAGAAGAGGTAGAAAGCAAAGTAAAACTACAATGTTTGGAAACAATCAAATGCCAGACTTGATATACAAGCTAACAAATAAAAACAAAGTTTCCATGTTTGCTCAAAGGCCTGTTGAAGACAACACTATAGAAGCTAAGAGTCAGCCAGGAAACAGACAAGTATACAAGAATGCTGTAAAGAAATACTCCCCAGAAATAGAGATTGAAACAGTCAAATCTGATGATAAAACTTATAATGTAATCACAGACAAATCTGAATGCATTTGTGATTTTGTTGACCAGCTAAATGTAGAACAAAAATTGATACAGAAATTAAAGATGGATCAAAAGAAGAAACAGTCATTAAGGAGATTGCATGACAGCTGGAATATAGAACCTTGTCTGAAACAAAGAAGGAAATATGGACCAGAAAAAGACCAAGCAGATGACTGTCACTCGGGGATAGGTAACTGCCAAAGTTTTAAGTTACCCATGTTCAAAAGTTGTTCTGTTGGTTAAATGCTTTCAGTTTTGATTTCCTTGTTTTGAAAATTTTGTTTTTCAGGTTAATTGATTTGTCAAGAAAAATTGTTTTCATTAGGATTAGAATTTTTAAAATAATAATCCTGGTAATAGTTCAATGTACAATAGAAAGTGGGGGTTTGGGGAGTGAGCTGTTTAAATATAAAAGTTGAAATTAGGTGAGAAAAAATATATAGAATTCTGACATTCATTATGAGATGTGTTTATTTTGAAGGGAAAGTGAGCTAGGGATTTTAGTGAGTGTTTTTGCTCCCTTTTTTTCTGAATGTTTATGCTTTCTTAACATGATGTTTATCCAGTGGTATAAGATGTTTATGATAAGCTGTGGGAATGTAAGACAGTATCTTTTATGCTGCAAGGGATTTGCTCTTAATGTGATATTTGCATAATATTTCATCATAATGTGAACAAAAATAACACATCTGTATATCATGGAAAGTGCAATGTGTTTTAAAATCTTACCCTCCAGGTTTATTTGTATAAAGGCTCTGGTTTCAAATGCAGACAAAAAACTAGTTATAAAATGCATGAAACGTTCTTTTTATAAAATTAAAGGACTTTAATTTCATAAATTTGCCTGTTGATAATAAATTTATGGAAATATCATTGTAAACTTCAAAACAGTAACTGAATTAATTTTCATAAAAGAAAATTATCAGAATTCTTTCTTAACATAAGCTTTTGATGAAATTTAAAACAGGGGAGTCAAGTTTGTTTTCATAATCAAGTATTGACAAAACACTGATCTTCTGTCAGTTTTTTGCTCAAGAATAATTTGTACTTAACAAATTTTCACCTTTCTGCCAGAGTACAGATGAACTGTTTTTTTTTACTGTCTAGAATATTTCTCAGTCAGCAAAATAATAAATTAATCTGTTTACCTTGTTCTTATTGATAACATGTTAATGTTTACAGTTTCATATCGCATGCCTTTGTTAATTATGTGCATCCGTAAATTAAGTTTTTTAAAATGAAAATTCCTTACATTTTACGTAAATCATAAAATCTTCTGACGAAAAATGCTGAATTAATGGTGGTGTTTACGTGTTTTTCTTGATTTGAGTTCAAGAACAGATTTGTATTGTATTTGATAATAGCAAAAAATAAGGGTATTAAGAGTTTATGGGAAAATAACACAACTTTTAATGTATTTACGTGATTTCTGAAGTTACCTTCACATTACTACTTATATATTTAAGTGCTTAAATGTGACATTCCTTGACCTCATTAAATTTAACATTTTACCTCAGACCAGTAATACAGATATGAAAAAGGGGCCATTTTTTGTTAATTATAAATTTTGCTATTAATTTGGTATTATTTTATGTTATACAATATTTTGTTGATCAGGGCTATATTGTATTCTTTTAAGATTCATGTTTTGCATGAACTTGAAACAAAATAAAATTGCATGACAATTTACATTTTTGGAAAATTTGCATGACATTTTTGATTTGCATGTTGTCTTGAATTTTTAAATGTTTGTCAAATTTTAATTTAACAAAGGATAATTAATTTGTTTAGTCTGTAAATTTGTCAGTTGAATTACACTTACTCAGAGCAAACAATTATCAAATATATTTTATTTGCAGGTCTGATTTTATTATTATAATTTTTCAAAAAATCCTGAAATAAGCTTTTATTCTTGAAGCATCAAGTTAATATACTTTGGTTGTCATAAGATGTGTACAATTCTCAGTTATCAATTTTCTGTTATAAAAACCATTGTTAAATTTATAGTATTCTTTGCTGAAAGATAATGATAAATCTGGTTTCATTTTCAGCAGAATTTGTTTTACAAAAAGTGTGGGTTTTTTTATTGGGTATTTTTTTAACAGTTTCATTAGAGAGTAAACTATCTTGGCTGTATATTTTATTACTTACTTTGCAAATTCTTGTGGTTAGAAATAAGAATTTATATGATAAAAAGATGTTGTTTTGTCTTGTATTGTCTAAATGTAATCACTTCACTGCTGATCTAAATAAGAGTATAAAAAGAGTTTTTGCAACAGTTATATATTACCGATATACATGAACCGTATGCACATAGAACCTATACTTCATATGCAAAAGGTAGAATATCATACATAAAGTTTAATTGTTGTTGTTTTTTTATCTCTTTTTTTGTAGAAGAAGCATGCTAATAATTGCATTTTCTAATATAATAAAAGTTTCAGCAACACCAATGTCATTTTAAATAAAGATTAAAATTCTTGAAGAACTATAATTTAGTTTACAATTGTTTCCCTGAAATCCATACAGTATGGATTTAGTACAATTTGCCTTGTAATTCTGATACTGTAAAAAGATACTTTTCCTTGATTAATTGTAAGGCACTAAACTGAGCCTAGAGTTTAGAAAGTGCATTATAATTTTTTCTGTTTTAAATGAGAAAAAAAAATGAATCATTAATTGTGTTAGTGTTATTGTTTACAAAGTGTGTGCCATGGTGTTACTGGCATGATCTGTTCTCTTGTGTATGATAACAGAGGAAGTAGAAGATATAACAAGTCACAGAAATAGAAAACCAATTTCTTTGTTTATCTACTGTTTTTTGGTTGACTGTAATTTCTTTGCATTGTCATTTAACTTCTGAATACAGTCAAACCTCTCTTTTGGCATGCAAAAAAGGTGTCCTGTTTTAATGAGTATATGAAATAGTTACCAATTTAGTTACAGTTGCTTAAACATAAAAATGAATCAAAAGATTTCATTGATAGCTTTTATGTATTTGTTTATAGTAGATGGTCAGTTACTTACAGGTTTAATTTTGTGCTTTGAGTGACCTTTTAGTTTTTAAGACTATTATTGATGTGCTTTGAATGTTGTTGCTTTTGGTATGCCTGTCTTCAAATATAGCGTTATTTGTTTCACATTTGAACATTATCATATTATCTTCACAGGTCGTGGACGTAGAGGTAGTTTTGATAGCGATGAAATCCCTCTTGAACCTCTTGATTTGGTTTGGGCCAAATGTCGTGGTTATCCCTGGTACCCTGCACTGGTAAGTTAAGTTTTTATACCTACCTATTTTTACAACCAAATCAAGTTTTTATACCTACCTATTTTTACAACCTATCTAAGCATGATTGTGAAGCAGGTTTGTAGGTTATTTGAACTTCTCTGGTCAGTTTTACAGACACTAGTTAGGACTGATTTTGACCTCAGTCGCAATCCCTGGGTTTAGATGTTGACACCTTAATTGATAGCTCACTGCTATATGTTTACATTCTGTTACAAACTTAAGACTGCCTTTTTTGAGCATTATGTATTAACACTAGTTAATACAAATATTTCATCAGATTATATGAATTCTACAATGTCTGATTAATGTAGACAGTGTGCTCTAATATAAGTTAAAAAAGGCAACTTTCCACACAAAAAATTGCTAGTTCTGTGTTACTATGAATGTTTTCCTATGTCAAATAGGGAGATTTTATTGATTGTGAAAAATTATGCTATCTCTATAATTGATCAAGCAAAATAATAAACAGCCAGAAGCATGGTCAGACTGCAATCACTGCATAAACAGCCAACTAGGCTGGTAGGCTGACTCTATACTATTTTACCAGTAATCATATTGTTAATTACTGATTTCAGATAATTAATCCAAAGATGCCAAAGACGGGATATTTCCATAATGGTGTACCAATTCCTGTCCCACCAGAAGAAGTGCTTGCCATGCAGAAACGATTTGATGAACTAGTCTACCTTGTATTGTTCTTTGATACCAAGAGAACATGGTCAGTTTTTGCTTGATTTTAACATTCTATTTAAATTGTAAGGTTTATATAATGCTTGTTATGTATGGATGTGTGTATACATTGTATATATTTCTTTAGAGGAACAAAAATAATCTTTATTCTGTGTTGGAAGACTAACCTAACTGTATGATATTTATTGATCCTTATTAATATTTATATTTCTACCCTTGGATAATATTTAATTAAAACTTTATAGTTCTCTGCAATGACAAATAAGCTATAGATGTATTACATATCTAGCAAATATTAACTTAATAGCAAAGGAAAAGTAACTCATGCACAATCATGTTGTTTATCAGAAGATATTTTTTGCATATGTAAAGGACTTGCTTGCAAACCAACAGTTTTACCACATCCTGATTCTGGTAGTCCTGATTGATATAGGTACATTGTGACCTTTAATGAACTAGGTAAGATAGGGATCAGACAGGAATATTACAATTTATAACTGAAAATGATATTTTCTGTCAGGTTTGTTTATATTTGAGAAAGTGTAAATGCAAAAGCTTTTTTGTTCCCGGATGTGGAGGTATTGCTGCAACCACAATTCGTATAAACACAAAATAAAACTGTATGTCAAGGTAAAAGGAGAGAAAAAGAGAGTGGAGCATGTTTGTATGTTTCAAAGGTGATCATATTTGATGTATGAAATAAGCAAGCTGATCTAATAGTGCAGGTATTGGGTTAACGAGCAAGGATATGACGTCACCAAGCTGATGCATTAAACCACATAGACCACAGAGGCTGGATGTTAAATCGCTTTATAGCACTCTTATAATGTCAAAATACCACGGAATATGTTATGATTGCTTTCTGTGGTTAGATGAGCCATTTTTTTAATATCCATTTTAGATATGATAGGAAGTGATAAAAACTTCACAATGCTTTTGAGCATTGGTGCAAATCAATTTGAAATATATTTATCTTATATTTTTAGTGGTTCTGTATAATTAGTATTTGAATATTTCTGCGGGTATTTGACTCCAATATGACCACATGATAAAGTATTTTGGTTATGTTGCCTTGATGAGTTTGTGGCCTCAATTGTTTTAAAGAGGTATGTGTCATACACATTATAAATCTTCTACCAATTTAGGAAGGAAATAAAATGTTTTTTGCTTTAAGAAAAACTTGTATGATTTATATAATAATGCAGGTGGATAGGAAATGATAATGTAGCCATTATTTCACTACTAATGTATCCATTGTTAGATATAGTACAGGGATAGTTTAATGGACCATTGTTAGGAACATTACATCAAACATCTTTAGTTGGGAAACTGCAGGTTTGGATAATATCAATCTTGGTAAAAAAAACTAAACATTTTGTTAAAAACTGGTAAGACTAGCAATACATGTAGTTGACTTGAATAAATAAATCTGTACAAATTCCTAGCTCAAATGCTTTGAAAGATACTTATTACTAAATGGCTATAACTGTTTAATTGAAATTGAATTTCCTTTCATTGTATGCTGTACATAATAATCTAACCTGAGCACATGGTCAGCTTTCAGAATCTTTTGCTGTCAGTTATCTACAATTGTTTCAATTGACATCATCTCTTAACCACATGGCCAAATTTGATAAAACTTGTCTGGGATGTAGGTTGTATGAAGCTCTGTTAAGACGGTTCCTGTTCATTGCATATCTGAATCACAGAAGCTCAAAACAGAAGTTCAAAGTGCAATCTGAAAATCTCGTGGCACTGCTTGGAGGTTCACTAATGATTTTACATAGTCTCCCTAAACCCTTTAAAAATCTTCTCTATAACTGCAAGGTCTAGGTTTTAAATATTATTTGAAGCATTGGCTAGTGGACCATTACTAAGTTTGTTGAGATAGTCAAAGTGGGTCCTGCCAGGGGCTATTTTGATTTACCTTGCACTCTGGTATTGAAAACTTCTCGAACCCTAGTGTCTGTAGTTAAGATAATTCAGCATTGTCTAGTTTACCTTTAACAAGTTTTTTTCAAAACATGATCCAATAGTCAAAACTGGCCCTGTCCCTGGGTACCATTTGATATTACAAAGAGTCATAAAGGAAAAACCTTCAAAAGTGCAAGGCCTAGATCTTAGATATTTTGTGTGTAGCAAAGAGCACTACCTAGTTTGTTCAAAACCAAAATTGGCCCATCATGTATTCACTTCGTTTTACATAGAGTCATATATAAAAACCTTTAAAAAGTTCTTTTCATGAAACCAAATGCCTGGAACTTAGATATTTGATGTGTAGCATTATCTTGTGGATCTTGACCAAGTTTATTGAGATTGTCACTCTTTGGTCGAAATTTGCCCAGCCAGGCGGTATGGCATTTAGGGGTGGGGGGAGTTAGTATTTTACAAAGTCTAATACAGGGTCTAATATAAGGAGAACCTAACAACACTTTGAGCTAAGATATATCGTATTTCTAGTTAAATTCTTATAAGTTTGCTCATAGGGCAGTGGATATCAAATACGCAATCTAGAGCCATTATGGCCCTATCCACCAGGGCCCTGTTGTTACCATACCTGGCCAAGATAAGAATTTTAGTTATATGAGGCTTAAAACATATTTTGTATGTCATGAAAACAAACTTTATATTTAAGAAAAGCTGCACTGGTATAAATTTTCTTTATGTTATGTTAGTCCAATAGAATTCTCGTAAGTCATTTAAAATGGATTTTTGACAAAAAAACTTGATAAACATTTTCAATTCTCGCTAAGCAGATTTGATATATAATAAAAGAGTATGCACACTAGTGTTTATGTCTGGTAGATAATATACAGACTTGAATTTTAGAGGTAGTGCCAAAACATCCTCGTATGAAATCCTAGTTTATGTGTAACATGGGGCTGTTAAGTGTAGTTTATACATTAATTAGATATGGTTGTAGTGGAAATAGAGAACTGCACAGTTTGGTCGCACACAAGGATCCCACCTAGACATTACATCTTCCTGGCTTACTGACCTAGTGCCAGAATTAGCTCTAACATTTCTGTAGAAAGATTAATGTTTTTCTATAAATGTTGATCTGTATTTATCTACTTTAAATTCTTTGAAATATGTGAATTCCTATTAGTGGTTAAGTAGAGGGAGGTAGAGCTGTAAATTATTGTTATTTAAGGTTATTTTCCCTGCTTTACAACTTGACTATATTGTAAGATATCTTTTGTAGAATATCAAATTTTGTCTCACAATTTCCTAGTTACCTTTGAATAAGTGCAAACATTTGTATAATTTTCAATACTTTTACAAACTGGACTTAAACCAAATAAAACAAAACAAACTAAAACAGCACTAATTTGAGAATGTATATATTTAACAGTCTTTATTTATTTCTAAGAAAGTTAAGGCATCTTCCTGAGTTTCATTATACAGCATAATATTCAACTAGGGAAGTTTTATTACATGTTTGGATAAGGATCAGGGTGTATGCATCAACATTCTGCACAAATTATTACTAATCGTTTGTGGTTGACTGTAATGATTCAAGCTTTTGAGACTTGTTAATAACGCCATGTATCTGTAAGTTTATTTCCCACTTTTCTGTGAGCAGTTCTTGTGAAGTTAATAGATTTAATGTTTTAAGGAGGAGAATAAGGGCTTAAAACATTTAGTATTAATCAAAATAAATTATTTTCTCCCCTATTTGTTTTTTCTCATGTTAAAAACAAAATACATGGGTTGTAAGAACCGCAGAGATTTGAGAGCAGTATCTTTCCTTATTTTAAAGGGAAAAACAACAGCTTGTGTTTATTGTGTATTTCAAAAACTTTTGTAATGTAGACCTTGGTAGATTTTTTTTTTTTTTATGTAGTTTGGGTTATTTTGTTGCATTCGGTTGAGTTTTTATTTGTTCAAAATGGAAACATAGAATGCGTATAGTAAAAGTGCATAATCATAACAATATATGTCCAAAAATTAGGATGAGAAATCTTAAAGAAATGATAAAGACTTGCAAGTAAATATATGAGTTAACATGTACTCACTATTGCATGTAGACATAAAGTTAAATTACCGTATTTTGAAAACCAGACTTGATAATTTATATTGTTATGGATAGACATGTAAACATTTTAACAGTGTGATGAGATATTACCTTTCCTTTCATTGAATTCTGTTCTTTCATTCCCATGATTTGTGTGGTTGTTTATCAACTTTATATATAACAGTAAACAGTATACATATTCAATGATTCGAGTTAAAGAACATTGAAATATCGTTCAGAACTTTGTGAACATGATCCGGGTCGCGAAATAACCTGACAATTGAGCGTAGATACTCAACTGACCAAAAGAATAACAATAATAACGATCAGATATGTAGAAATATACCTGAACTATTATTCCATTACAATTAGATGCAGAAAGTGTACACTAGAAGTGTCACTAGAACACAAAGGTGTGTATTATTTACATTTTCTAGCTGACGGATTCAGCGGAAATAAGTTCCATATCCGGCCAAATTCCGAGAAAGTACCGTAATGCAATGAAACTACCATAATCATAGTTTTGGAAAAAGAGTGACTATTATATAAAAAATCTGCCGATATTTTATGGTCTTTATTATTCTATAAAAGAATAATAACATTTTAGCGGATCCTTGATGGATCTATTTTGTCTGACGGCGTATGAGCCATGACTGTGCTATGTTTAACGGAACGCTGTGATTGGTTAACTAATTCCGTTGTCGAATCTTATTGGATAAGAGTACTTTTGAATGTTTTAGTGGCGGGCAAATTTCATTTCGGAATTAACACGCCAAAGTCTATAAATACAGACGCTCAATTCAGTTGAGCAGCTTTTTCCAATCGTGAAACACGGACTAACAAGGTTATTATTTGAACAGTAGCTCAACCCTAACTAAAAATCCGCCAAACAACGGAAATCCGCCAAAACTCTGAACAATCCGCTAAATAAATATTCCGCTAGAAGACTTTAACTGTAATTTACGCGAAATACGTTCATATAATCCCTTCTTTAACAACTTTACCATTGA